GTTAGTTTGTTTGTTTGTTTGTTTGTTTTTTGTTGATTTTTTTTGTTACTCAGCCTTTGCAGTTTGTAGGAGCAAAACCAAAAAGCATCCTATGTCCAAAGTTAGTTTATTCTCTAGGTTCTGACATAACAATAGCAGGGTTGCCAGATAAAAACAAACAAAAACAAAAAATCTGTGCACATTTTCATCAAACACAACACACACTTTATCATACAACACCCTCACTCAGCATGTAYGACTGAGTGACTCATATAAACAGCATATCAGCTGTTTGACCCAAAATAGAGCTGGGCGGTATGACCCAAATTTTATATCACGGTATTTTCAACAGTTACACCGGTTTCACGGTATTTGACGSTATTTTTTTTCCTCACAGCTCAGCTGATAATAAAATGGACAAACTTTGCTTATTGACTTTTTTGTTTTACTGTACCTCTGTATCACCGTTTCCCTCCTCTTGTACGTCTTTTCTTCTTTGGTTGTAGACAGTAATCATGCATTTTGGTCCGATCGTGAAGAGTTGAGAAAAAAATCATCTGGTCTATTGTTGCGTGTTAATAAAACTGAAAAGGACGACTCACCTTGCACACCAGTCAACTCCGCTACAMTACAAAACTACTTCCCCCTGGGCTTTTCACAATAGAAGCACGCTAGAGTCTCCATGCAATAACGTCTCCATTTTAACGTAGCGCGTTAAATCTAACTGTGCACATCACTGAAGAGGTGTTTACTATTCAGCAATGGTGAAAACGGGATTTTTTTTTACATCAGACCATATAAGCAGCTGAAACACACCACCCGCCGCCAGTTATTCCAACAATAACGTTAGCATGCTAATGCGCTTAGCGGTGCTGCAAGGAAACGTGTCCCAAGGAAAACAGTTCACTGGCGGTTGCAGCGAAACGTTCCGCACGTGTTCAGGCTATTTACACCGGTATTCAGAAAAGTCATATCATAACAAAAATAAAAACCGGTTTTCGGTACAAAACGGTATACTGCCCAGCACTAACTCAAAATATGATCATTTTAAAGGAACAGTAAAACACCTTACTATGCTCCATCTGGCAACCCTACCTGGCAACAAAACTGTAGTGGTTTCATGTAAACGCGTGATTTTCTTTTGTGTATTTGCTCCAGTAAGCATTAGCATTTCCAGAGAGCATTTTCATGTAAACAGGGCCTCAGATCAACTTGTTTTGAGGCTGTCTCTTTAAATCCAAACGAGGCGTTTCACACCCACCAGCTTCCAAAGGGATCCACTCTAGTTTGATCGAGGGTTTTAGGACTATAGAGCAGGAACTTTTTTCATTTACAAATGAAATAAAAGATGACAAAAAGGGAAGACTTGTCCATCCAGCCTTACATGTTGGAGCCAGAGTCTGACCCAGAACCAGAGTCTGACCCAGAACCAGAGTCTGATCCAGAACCAGAGTCTGACCCAGAACCAGAGTCTGACCCAGAACCACAGTCTGACCCAGAACCAGAGGAGAATGAAAACAAATTGTAGTTGGTAAGTCCAAACCTTATTAGGCAGCTCCATCATAAATAATTTGACATAATGGTTCAGAAAACAGAAAAAAAAGAAAACTGAACATATGACCTAAATGTTATATAAAAATATCCATGCAGCACCAGGAGAGACTAYACTTTCTGYCTCCTAGAGACTCCAAGTCYACAACAAAATGTATTTAACAGCTAAAGAAAGTGGATTTTCCATGATAAATCCCCTTTAATGGTGGTTAAACAAAAATAAATTCTGACAGGATGACTGTGCAGCTTCTTCTTGACAATTTTGTACGTTGATATTAAAATACTTACATTTTGATGTACAAACTGTATACAAAGTATAAACAAAACCAAGATCAAAATAAGTATTTAGGCTGCTGTCAGTGGCTCATTATGATCACCATAGTAACTAAACACATGTCTCTCACTCCCTGAATGCAAACACAAGGGAGGCAGACAGAAAAAGCCTGAAAATAAACCCTCAAACAGTCGTCATGCAAAAACAATGAATTGGATCTTATTTAAAAAATTTGAAGACTCTCATGGTCACACATTAATGAAGTTTCTAAAAGTTTATTTTTTTATGTGGGACTATGACAACCTAAAAGGACCCTTTGCTTTAGTTTCAAGGAGAAGAGCACAAATATAGCTGAGCTCGGTGCACTCAGATTCAAAAGGGAAACCGATGGGAGTCACAGTGAGTGGAAGGAGACAAAAATCTCACTTTTATGTGGAATTTGCATGTTCCGAAAACAATGTGGGGGAAAAGAACCGTTTGTTCTCAAAAGTTATCGTACGGCATGCCGTTTGTAAAGTTACACAGTCAAAAATTACCACCAATATTTTTGTTTTATTTAGCCTTTTATAAGAAAAAAGAACAGATTTATTTTTCAATGTCAGATTTTCACCGTATCATTCATACATTTATAAATGTCATAGTTTATAAACTAAATATTTAACTTGCTAGCTAAATATTTAACTTGCTAGCTAAATATTTAGGTAGCAAGCTAAATATTTAAGT